GCTGAGGATAGTTAGGTGGAAACAGATATGGTTCGCTGTGGCGACCCCTAACGGGAACAGCTGAAAGAAGAAGAAGGCATTGCTAGTATTATATTATTAAATGTGTGGTTTCTTCAAACTAATATGGTTTAATACCAGCATTAATCACATGACTTGTCTACATTAGTCATGTGACATTTTACCTGCCCACACCGATCATATGATTACCCTGTTATCTAAAGGAATCACTCCAAAGGCAACCATTTTGAATTTCCCTGTCAATGGCTGAATGCTTCGGAAATTTTAAGGACTTGATTAAAGATTACGACTTATAGCAAAGTAACAAGTTGCCACCTAAATGAAAGTGGCGAAGCAGAAGTTTAAACTAGGTGTGAAGTTTAAATACTAAAGTCCAGATTCTTCAAAACTGTACTTTGCTCTATATTAAATGTAGTTAATTAGAAAATGCTGAAGGGATTCGAATTACGGAGCATTCAAAGTGTGTAATTACCGCTTGAATAGTGTTACATTTGGATGCAGCATGGTCCTTCAATTAGGCTTTTATTTCGAGTGCAGACACCGGAAGCCCTGCAGGAGACTGTGGCTGACTTGACGCTGGTTGTCTGCGCACAGACTCCAGCGGAAGCCTAACCGGAGAACAGCAACTGGTTCGATCACCTTAACGGTGCTGCTGCAACACCTACAACCGAAGGAGGACAACGGGGCGACTGACAGGTTCACGACTAATTTCAGTGGAATAAAGCGGCCCAGAGCTGCTCTCCCGCATTTTAAAGGCTTTAACACTTGAGCAGAGCTTGATCGCCAATGGCAAGTCCGGTTGCAGACATAGGACAGTCTCATCAGCATCAGCCAGTGACGGGCTCGGCCGCTGATTCCGCGTTTCAGGAAGCGCAGAAATGGATAGAGGTGAGCAGCACCACTGTGTCAGATACTGTATTAACTCCTCAACACTTTGCTTCTCAGGGGGTTTTGTTGTCATTGTGTGGCCGTAGTTGCTGGCGTGCACCCTGTTTGCGCTTCGCCACCTGTTGAAAGGTGACTTAAGCTAATAACCTAATTTGGTGCATATTTTGATGAAGTCCCTATGGTGGGTTACATCGTTTCCCGGTACTGCATTTATGGCGGATGTATTGAATTAATTTTCCTCTATGTAATATAGTCTAATCAGCTTGTGTTAATAATCAGTTGAAACTTAAATATTACCCCCCAAATAGAAAGCTACATTTTAAAGTCTAATGAAGATGTACCACCAGTAATACAGTAATATGGCCTACCAAGTGGGATATTGCATTTATTTGTATCAGACCCTCCTAAATGTCAGGCTTTCTGTGGTTTTTGGTGAGAGTCATTGTACAGTAGCTGTGGTTACTATGGGGCCTGGTGCCTGTTTGGCTGAAAACAATAAGTGCATCATGTGGAATGGATTGTTGCTTCACTGGAGTCTGCTGAACAGTAATCACACAAGTGAGTTTTTGTTCTGGGAGAATTTCAATCACGATCTGGCAGTGAGCTGGCCTCTTGTCAGCCTAAAAAAAAAGTGCTGGCTGGCTGATTATGTTGCATGCTCGTGGAATGCGGTCAGATCTGTGTAGGTTTTCATAAGGGCTTAAAAATGAGATTTAAAGCCCACCCAGACACCATGCTTTCTATAATGAGGATGATTCAGTGTAGCAGGGGTGTAGGTAGGGATTGTGGGGCCTCTGTACAGGAGGGGGCTATAGCCCTCAAACTCCTCCCACATTTACATTTGCTAATTAATGACAGTTTGTCCTATCTTTTATTGTAACATTGATTAGCTGTTAAAACCACAGTTTCATTAGTTATTGCTGGATACATATATAAATAAAATACAAGTTATAATCAAATCTCAGGTACCTAAAAATCGGCAGTGTATCAAATACTTATTTGCCCCACTGTATTTAATCTTTACTGTCATCAGCTGCCACTCTGCATTTGTACTGAGAAGATTGTTCTCCTACCATTTACAGGGTGCTATTATAGGCTATTTCAAGCATCAAACAGTCTGGTTTCTCATAGCTGTAACATAACTCACTGCCTCTGTATTTCCAAGAAGACATGAACAGCAAGCCGTTTACCTGTCTAGTTTGAGATTAGGACATTTAAAGAGTATGGATATCTTACCAACAACCTGCATGTTTAGTTACCATCATGCTTTTTTTTTTACTTATCCAAGTATATAATATCTCAAAAGAACCTCTTTTAGAGTGTTGGACACCATTATAGGCCCTATTATGAAGCACCCAACTCCTCTGAGGCTCATTTCATATCTTTAAAAAAGCCACTACTGACCTAGAATCTCTGCGGCAGATCAGGACTGAAAGCTGAAAAGATGTGAGGAAACTGATAGTGCTCCTGTGCTGTTGTTCTTCTATCACCCTATCCCCGTGGGGACTTATTTTGTTACCCATACACACCTGGTGATGGTCCTTTAGCCACTTCAGGGACCTGGAAACGGGTCATTATGAACAGATCAACACAAAGCCTCAGTCAGCATCCCAACAACTAATGTGTTGACTGTGCTGCATGCATCATACACTCACCAAGCTCTTTATAATCACCTTTATTAATAAAGGTGATTAGCTCTTTATAAGGTTTGCCTGTACAGTTGTTTTTAATCTAGTCCCACTGTGCTTATGAAGCTAATAGCGTTTCAGTTTTTGGACTTATCTAGTGGTGTTTCTGTGTTTTTGCTCCCTACTTACATACTTGAGGGGGTCGTACAGTAATATCAGCTGTGTGAGTGTTTTGTGGTGTTCATTTTGTCAGCCATACATCCTTGGTTGGACACTAAACTTTCACTGTCTTTGCCTGTCTTTTTAAATCTTCTAAAAAGAAGTTTAAACAGTAACGTTAATGGTTACAGTTCATATGCAAGAAGACAATTAGATAACATGGACAAGTCTTGCAGAGGCATATTTGAGGCATGTCCTTGTGCTTTTATAGAGCCTGTTCATACTGTGTTTGCTATGGAATTTTTTTTTTTTTTTTTTTACTTAGGGAGCCAATCTTTAATTTTGGTTTGTTTTGGCAGGTGGGGATAATTTAAACTGAAACTGCTGCTGAAAAACAGATCTATGCCTCTGTCTAGAACTTGATGACAGACTGCTTTAGTAGCGGGTTAACAGTAAATGAGCGCATCTTGAAATATCAGGTTGTGTCATGCTGTTATACTGTACCTATAGTAATCTTTCACATATATAGTGACATACAGTAGCTCAGTAGTGTGTGGGTTTGTAAACTGCATCCCTTGAAAATGAGTTTCCCAGGTAGATCATAAAGTGGCTTCCTGTTTTCTTCAGTATCAAAAGACTATAGTAGCACTGGAAATATGTATAAGAAAACAATCGCTCTGACAAATGGCATCCAACATCAGCGACTGTAAATCCTAACACCTCGATAAAGCATGCACACCTGCACACATTACTTCGTTACTTCCTTGATGGCTTTCGGCTTTCACCATCTCCTCAGTAACCCTGTCACTAATAACAGTGTTAAGGCTTCTCTGAACTTCAGAAGAAGCTGGCTGGCCCTTTGATGAGGGTAAAAACCCTCAGCTGGTGAGCATGATTGGTTTGAGTCATATGGCCACAGGGTGTTTGCATGAACGTAAACGCAATGGCACTATTATCTGATTGGGTCTTTTCTCAGAACTTGTCCTAGTGGTTTGATAAATTGGATTCCTTCTTAATAGTAGTTGAGGACTATTTTGCTCCTGGCAAATTTATAACAGAACATAATCGTGAGAAAATAACTGTCAGAGGTGTGTAGCTGCATTACCCACTTTGTTGTGATTTAAGACACTGATGTAGGAAAAACATTCAACTGATAAATGAACATGAATATGTATTGGAACAAATGGAAAAGTTTTACATTATGTAACCCAAAACTCTCCAAGTAAATAAATCCATTTTGCAAAATGTGGTGTGATAATGTTGTCATACCTAATACTAGAGACTAAATCTCTGAAGTATTTTTATTTTTGTTGCTGGTTTTCTTGGGGAGTCAGGCATCTCTAATGCCAGTGGTTACCAGTGTGATTTCCTTTTTATTGGATTGTATGTTGTTACATAGTGGTTTAGGTATTTGAATATGGTACCCGACCTTTGTTTAAGCATGTTATAGCCACGTACTGTGTCTAAAACATATAACCTGTGTAGTATTTCCTGGTAAGACAACTTTTTTTCTTTCTCAGAGCTTGCCTCAACTTATTCAGTTTCTCTTCATTTCTTCTGTATTGTCTCAGTACTTCTCTCTCTTTCTTCCCCCCCCCCACCACCTCTGTCCAAGTCGTGGCATGTTTAGGTGGCTATAAATAACAAAGTTCCACTGTGACATGGCTAAAAGTGAAAATGATATCCATTCCACTGACCAGCCATATCACTAAAACCACTGGCAGGTGAAGTAAATAACAGTGAAAATGGACCACCTTTATACCACCTACCCAGTATTGCCATGGGCGTCCATGACCCTGTCCTTTCTTTTGGCAAGTTGTCCACTTGTGGTAGGTACTAACCCTAACCTGCCATGTTGGAGATGCTCTGGCCCAGTCATTTAGCCATCACAATGTGGTCCTTGTCAGAATTGCTCAGATCTTTATGCTTGCCCATCTTTCCTGCTTCTAACACATCAACTTCAGGAGTTGGCTGTTTGCTTGCCACCTAATGTATCCAACGCTTTGACAGGTGCCACTGTAACAAGACAATCAATGTTATTCACTTCACCTGCCAGTGGTTGGCATGATGTGGCTAATCAGTGTAAATTCAACACCCTTGAACCTGTGTTAGTTGAATCATGGTGCTTGAACTGAAGTTCACATTTATCATAAGAATCACCTTTGTGGCTGCCTTTGCAATTGTGATTTAGATTCTTTAACATTCTATTTGATTCTGGTTTACAACATAAACCAAACCATCATCATCTCCTGTCTGGCTTTCACAGAGTGCCATGATGGTATTTGAGGAAATTGGCTGCTAAACAAAAGGTCACAAGGTTAATCCTGCAGAAACTAATGTTTATCCATCATCATCCATTTGTCCTGTCACATTGTCGGTGAGTGACAAACTAAATAGGAGCATGACGATAAATTGTAAATGTTCAGAATCACACAGTATGGACTCTTTTCTTTCTTGGATGTCATGACAGCAACATGTTTTCAGATGCAATACCAGACACCTTTTTCCTTTTTGGCCCTGGGCTGTTTTGGAAAGATACTGCCATCTCTGTTGAAAGATCTATAGCTACTTCTAGTTTCTTCCATGATGTCATTCCTGGTTTGGGGGCATTGTAATTTTCTCCTATAGAATGGACCAGTGTGTTGAGCTTTCTTGTCAGGTTTTCGTCAGAGCACATGAGCTGCACTGCAGTGACTACAAGCCATGGAAGAATGTAATTTTAGAAGGAGGTGCTTGTTGGAGGAGGGTTTAGGCTAGACTGAGGATGCACCCTTAATCACTAACCTTAATGCTCTGAGTTAGGAATCCACAACATCCACAATTTCCCTGTGCACTTAGAACAGTGAGCTTTGAGTGTATTCTTCCAGGATGAGAATTAGGTTGAAACATGGACATATTAAATTCAGTGATACCAGTGACGTTGCTGCATGTGACATTGGCTGTCTTTATAGTTATGGGTAGTAGAAGCACAATGGGTTCAGAATTCTTGTTAAGTAAACTTTGTTAGCTGTAGCTTCAGTACTTTCATTTACACAGCCTGTGTCAAAGCATCCAAAGGGCCACTGATTAAACAACTCATACCATAATACATTCGACTCAGGCTGATACAAATGCAGTACAAAATTTTTTTTTTATTGAAGCTGCTTCTTCACCAGTTCGTAACACAGCTTCAGTAATTCACAAAAATGAGAAATCTCCAAAGGTAAAATGAAA